AGGTCTGATGAGAGACAGAAGAGAGCTTTGTCCAACTGAACAAACGCTTGACATCTCAGAGCAAACCTGCAAGAAAAACTCGAGTAGAGAAGATGGCTTAATCTCTTTTTTCTGCATGCAGTGCTTTTTAAAAAATTTATTTAACTGTTACATGATTTTTAAGGTTTATGCTCTATTTACAGTAATTACAAAATATTCGCGATATTTCCTGTGCTGTACAATACATGCCTGTAGTCGTGAAGATGGCTTAACCTTGAGGCTAAAATGGGTCTCCCACTTCCCTCTCCAAATTAGGTCTTGGGGCCAACGTGCCTCTGGAAGCAGAGAGGGGGAAGAAGAGTGCAGAGGAGATTTCAAGTTCACGAACGCAGCAAGCCTCCCAGAGGCAGACCAGCTTCAGAGGCTCCTAGAAACAAAGGCCACTGCCCAGCATAAGAAGTGACCGACAGCAGTGACTGGACCCAGGCGGGAGAAGTGACTTCCCAAAAACAGGCGCTGAAGAACTCAGAGGAAATGGAGATGGAGAGTCTGTGCCACTTGAGAGCATCCCCCCCCAAACCACACCCCTGCCGAGGGAGGAGGGTAAGATCTTGCTCTGAAAACAGCAGGCCAGGAGGCAGTAAAGTTTCCACGCCCTCAGTGAGCTTGTTAAATACAACACGGCACTTTCTTCTCAACAACTCCCATCTGGTCAATATTTTTACACCCATTTTAAAGATACGGAAACTGAAGCCTAAGGAAGTAAATTACTGGACCATATTTTTACAGCAAATAAGTTCAGGGAGGGAGCCAGAATTCAAATCCCACATCGATCTGGCTGACTCCAAGGGTGACCTGCAGTGTGATCATTTCCACTCTGTGTTAATAAATGATTCACGATCATCAGGAACTTACTGGTTGAAACCCATGAGGCTGGATTTGCTGTTTTGTCAGGGCGAGACGGGTTGACGGCGAAAAGCTTATCACCAGGAACCTCTTTATACCCACAAGCGGAAAGGAAGTCTATCCAAAAGTGTGCTCATAAAGAGCGTCCTGGAGCCTCTCACCAGGATGGAGACGAGCAGAGGACACTCCTGCAGGCTGCCAGCCAGGTGCCCTCCAGTGCCCTCACAAAGTAATGGATGACATTTGCAGCCAGCCTTTCCTCCAGATCAGGGCTGTCTCTGTGTTTGAACTCTTGATGAAATCACATTGTTAAAAAGCACAGTTGGCAAAAATATGCATCTGGTAACATGACACTCTGAACAGATGAATTAATTGAACACAGTTTTTAATAATCAGATAATACTTTAAGAGGAGGAGAGGTGACAGGCAGAGGCCTTGGGGAGAAGAGGCTGGTCTTTCTTGCATTGGACACAAGGTCCTGACGGGCAGGTGGAGCGTTCACTCTCTGAGGACAAATAGCTACCTTATAATTGTCACTTTCAACACCTCCTCCAGGTGTAAAAAAAAATAATGGAACCAAAGCATATTCCACTGAAGGAAATAAGGAAGGAGGGGGGGAAGGAGGGAAGGAAGAAAAGAAGGAGGAAAGGAAGCGTGGAAGGAACGAAGGGAAGGACGGAGCTCTTCCTTACTGCAGAATGTCAAGTAGCAAATTTAGAAGAAAGGAGGAAAATAGAGACCCACCGTTTGGCGACCACCATAGAGGTGGCTGACTTAGGAGGGTCGGTGGATGCTGGGGCCTTTCTGTTGAGTCATGAGAAGGACTGGGAAGTCGTGTACTCTGAGAACGCTTCCCCCAAAACACTCACCAGTTACAAAGAGGAAGGGATGAATTCGAGGAAGAGATGCCTGGCAAGCCAGGCGAACCAGGCCGACACTCCCCGGGGTGGGACGGGTCACACGCTGTCCCTCCTCAGGAAGATTCGCTGAGAAGGACGCCCCGCGTTTCTGAGGTTTGGTGTGAGTGCGGTGGTGAGAAAACATCAGATGGACCAGGGTGAGGTCATCCCAGAAGGAAAGGCTCTCAGGAGGCCAAAGGCCCAGAGACACTGAGCGCTTTAAACATTAAGCCAGTTTTGCTTACATTCCTGGAATAAACCATCATGCTTCATCTTCTGTGAAATACCTTTTCATGTCTCTTGCTCGGTTTTATTTCAAGGTGTGTGTGTGTGTGTGTGTGTGTGTGTGTGTGTGTGTGTGCGCGCGCGCGAGCACAGACTTTAAAAATTGGTTTAAGGAATCCTTTAGTTCTTGATACCAATCTTGATGATTTTGGTAATGTACCCTTTTATTTCCTTTAAGTTGTTACTTTGCAAACAGAAGTTTTTCATTTGTTATGGTCAAATGTATCAATCTTTTCCAGTTCGTGCTTTGTATGCTTATTTAAGACTTAAGTGGGACTTTCTTGGTGGTCCAGTGGTTAAGACCCCATGCTTCCAGTGCAGGGTGCACGGGTTTAACCGCTGGTCAGGGAACTAGATCCCACCTGCTGCAATTAAGAGTTCATATGCTGCAACTTATGATCCTGGTGCAGCTAAATAAATAAATAAAAATTTAAGAATATTCATCTATATATTTCATTTAGTTTTAAAAGATTGGGGTGGGGGACTATTCAAGTCCTTAAACCACCTAGAATAGATTTTTTAAATAATTAATTCGAAATAACTTTAAACATAAAGAAAAATTGCCAGAACATTACAAAAAACTCCCACATGCCTTCATCCAAAGATTCCCCGGTTTTAACATTTGACTGTGTTCTTCCATGACTGTCTATTCATCCCCATTATCGCTATTCCTTTTCTGAAACGTAAGAGAACAAGCTACAGATATGACGTCTCATCTCTCCTAAGTACTCCAGTGTGTGAACCCCTCAAAGTGAGGGCGATCTTGTCTGTGATCACCCCACAACTCTCCAACTGGGAAATCAACATCAGTACCAACCAATGTCCAATTCACAAACCACAATCGAATGTTGCTAACTGTCCCAACAATTTCTCTGACTTTTTTGACTGAGGATCATGCCTAGGAAGACAGCTTGCACTGCAGCTGTCTGTACTGTTCCAGTGTGAATGGGGGCCACAAAGATAACTCGATCTATGATCAAGCACACGTTTGTTGTGTGACCTCTGCATCTTTGTTTTGTGCATGGTTCTGTGCACATATTTCATAATAAAAATGTTTATTTTTAAAAATAAAGTATGTATTATTAAGTAGGAAGCTAATCACACTCATACATTTCAAACATAACATTTGCTCCCAGGATTCAGATTTCTGCACTAAAATCAAATTTCTTCAGCCGTTAAGCCCTAGAAGTTTCAACTAACTTTAAAGTGGTGATCAAAAATGAAAAGTCACCTTACCAAATAGTAGATGCAAAGGGAGAATCAAGCCTCTCAAAGCTGATTTTTATTAGGACCCCTAGCAACATACATCTGCAAAAATTCCCTCTCCCTCTTAATTCATATACATATTTCAATATAGTATAGTTGTTGACATTTTAAATAAAGACATGTACATTCATATTTGCATTTTGATTAAGGATTTTAGTTGAAAGTATAAAAATAACAGAGCTTCCCTGGTGGCTCAGTGGTAAAGAATCTACCTGCTAATGCAGGAGACCAGGGGTTCAGTCCCTGGGTCAGGAAGGGCCTCTGGAGAAGGAAATGGCAACCCACTCCAGTATTCTTGCCTGGAGAATCCCATGGACAGAGGAGCCTACAGACAAATCTCATGGACAGAGACAGGCTACAGTCCACGGGGTCGCAAAGGAGTCAGACACGTCTTAAAGACTCAGCAACAACAAACAACATAAAAATGACAGACTAAATATAAGAGAGACATGTGTTGTTAGACCAACCCATTCTAATATAGCAGTGGACTTTTTTCTGACCCAATAAAAAGTAGAATTTCCTAGTTAGCCCTGGCAATTGCTCTTGCAAATAATTTCACAGGCATTTTTTTTTAAGTGGCAGCATCTGGAAGGTCCACTTATGTCGGATTGGTGGAGAGAGTTGGGAAATGAGCTGTTCAGTGTTTTGCCCTGTTGCCAATGCAAGAACACACGCACCCTCACCAGGTGTGTGGAACACTGCCTGCCTGAGCACTGAGACGGGGGCCTCAGGACCACGAACTGAGAAGGAAAGGCAGTGCCAACCAGACACAGACCATGGTCTCTTCCTGGTAGACTTGGGGGCAAGGAGTTTTGCATATTCACATCTTAATTATGCAGACTGACTTCCAGGGTTCAATTTGATATGTAGATCCAAACAGCACCACTGACTTTTTTTTCCTTTTATCCTGAACAGTATTTGTTTCTTTAAGTTTAAATGAAATGATTTATCAAAAGGAAACATGCGCACTGCAAGAAGGCGCCTGTAACTAGCATCCTTGTATGGACTTTATTCCTTGGGCGGCACCTCCACAGTATTCTAGAAAACCTCCTGTTCACAAAACCCCCAAGGGTGAAAACCACCTTGGAGATCATGTCCTAGTCCGATCTCCTCGGTTTTTCAGATCACCAAACCGCAACTCAAGAGAAGGAGCAGTGGGGGTGGGGGGGGGGGGGGCGGACCGACGAGGGTCGGTCATCACAATACTGACAACGCAAGGCCTGGTTACCCCGTCTCCCCACTCCAAGTGCACTGCTCTTCCGCCTCAAGTATGATGTGGAGTGGACGTTTCAAATTAAGAAAAGAAAGGAGGAAACTTTCTCCAAGTCCACCTTCAACCATGGGTATTGCCCGCAGTGTTCGCCAAGAGCCAGCATGCGTTGGCAACTAGGGATTTCATCACCCTTTAACTAAGGAATTAGGGGAAAACAGCCTCACAAGCAGTACCAATTGCGGAACGACCTCGACTTTTAAAAATAAAAATAATTTTTTAAAAAACCCAGCGTCTGCTTTCAGCCACTCACCCCATATCATTTATGCGTGGTATTGACTACTCTCACTTCCCAAACGGCCCACAGCAGCGAGGGGAGGCTGGGCTGCAGGTGGACGAAAGTGGAGAGGAGGCCCGCGGGGGTCCCAGGGGCGGCGCCCCTCCCCCCTCCGCACCCGCCCACCAGAGGCCGGCGGCTGTGCGCATGCGCAGACCGCCCGCACCCCGCCCCCCGACTTCACTCTGCTTTATTTAGGCCTTCAGTTCTGCCTGCTCGCACGCCCCCAGCGCCCCAAGTTCGGATGACAGGGGGCGGGGTGGGGGAAATCCCAGGGCGCTCTTGGAAGCTCCTGAGTGGGTGGGCAGGAAAAAAGGCAAGGACGTTGAGGACAAATAAATCCTTTTCCCGCCGCCCCCCACCGCGGGCCCCGCAGCCATCTGGGCCGGGCGCGGGCGCCCCAAGTCTGGGCCGAGCGGGGTCGGAGCGCGCGCGTGAGGCCCCGGGGGTGGGGCGGGGCCGTGGGCGGGACCTGCGGCGGCTCCCCGAGGCCCCGCCCCTCGGACCAACCTCTCGCCTCGCCATTGGAGGGCGTGGGGGGCGGGTCCCAGGGACACCCCCCTCTCGCCACCGGCCCCCGCCCCGCCCCCCGGCCGCCCACGTTTTCGGCTCCTCCAGCAGCCCTCCCTGCGCAGGGAAAGGAAACACCCGGGGCGGCTACACAGCCTCGGGACGCTGGAAAGGCGCGCCCCCCTGCCCCGCCTCCCAGACCGTAGGCCTGGAGATGTCAGGGAGGGTGGGACACGGGGCCCCGCCCCCAGGCCCCCATCTCTGGGTGCGGGATCCGGCGGGCGTGGGTAAGGGCTCCCAGTGCCGCCGTCAGGCCCCGCGCTCCCCTTTAGCGCGGCACCCTCCACCGCCCTTCTTTCGCCCCTTCTTCCCCTTTCCCCGTCTCTGCATCCCCGAAGAGACGCGAGCGCCGAAGGCGCGGCTCCGGGGGGCAGTGAATTCGACTCGATGTCACCTTAACCACTTACATAGCTGCTGCTCACTTAACATCTCGTTTTCTCCTGTAATTTGGGGAGATTTAAGGGGTCATTTTTATTTTTCATTTCTTTTTTCTCTTCATGCGCTTAAAGTTGGCCGACTCCTTCCTTAGCCTGTGATGAAAGAAGCTAGAATTTAGGCTTCTCTTGGTGCAGAGAAAGGGAAGGAAACCAAAGCTTAATCGCGTTTAGGAAGAAAACAGCTCTGTTCCTTTCTCATGCTTAACTCACGCTGCTGGGTAGCAGCACCTCTCAGGGGCACAGGCGCAGCTGCAGAAGCGCTTGGTTGCAGAGAAGGCTGCGTCTACAAGGGTTTGCGCCCGAGCACCAAAACAGTGCAGGTGTGTGTGGATCCGGGTGTGCGTGTGCGTACGTGAGGTACGTGTGTGCGTGTTTGTGCGGCCCAACAACAACAAGAAAACCTCAAGAGGCGCATCAGGATCAGAAAGAACCCCTCACACTAGTGATCGCCTCGGAAATGTCCCAAAGGTCTGAGAGTTAGTAAATCCCTTGATCCGAAAATCGCCTTTGCGGAGCTCCTTCCTGCCGGCTCTCCCCGCTCCCCAAGATAGGTGACGCCGCGTCTCTAGAAGCGGCCTCATGCCCGCGCGGGCATCACGGAGGGCACGCGGTGCACATTTCAGGGGCCCCGCGGGTGCAGAGTAAACCCCGGGGCCCCGGCGTGTGCGCGCGCTCCGGGCCCTGCGTGCGGGAGGGTCTGGGGCGCTCAGCTGGGCTTGCGAGCACGCGCGTGTGTGTGCGTGAGTGTGTGCTCACGCGCTCCAGGCCGTGCCCCCGAGCCCAGCCGCAGGGTTGGAGAACGCGAGCAGGCCAGCGCAGGGGGCAGGCGGGGGTGTCAGATTCTTAGAGCTGAGCTGTTTTCCCCTCCAGCTCCCGCTCCTCTGAACCCCGCTGCAACGTAGGGAGGGGGCTGGATTCGTCCAGGAGCTGGTGGAGAAGCGGGCTGAAACAATCGAGTGGGCGCGCCAGGACTCCCCGGCTGCAAGGCGGGGAGGGGAGAGGGAGCCCCGGTTCTGCGCAGAGAGGGGGCGGGGTTGGGGGGCCCCGAGAACAGCGAGGAGGCGGGGGTGGCCGCCGAGCTGGGGAAGCGGTGCCCCCCCCAACTCCCGGGAGGCGAGAACTCGTTCGGACAGCACATTAATTGGAGATAACTGATTAATTCGAGCTTCTGATGACTATAAATGGCGATTCTTTACCAAGGTGTCTTTATTTAAAAAAAAAAAAAATCGTTCCGTGTCATCCCCCACGTCAGGCCGGCTCGTGGGCGTGAGGCTGTACTTCCTCCGCCCCCTCCTAATGGAGTGAACCATTCCCAGCTCTCCCCCTCCCTCGGCCTCTCTCTCTCTCACTCTCTTTCTCTCCCTTCCTCGCTCCCTCTCTTTTTCTCCTCCCTCTGCCTTCTCCGTGCATAAAGTCTCCGTCGCTCCTGGAACTTGTTGGCAATGCCTATTTTTCAGCTTTCCCCCGCGTTCTCCAAACTAACTATTTAAAGGTCTGCGGTCGCAAATGGTTTGACTAAACGTAGGATGGGACTTAAGTTGAACGGCAGATATATTTCACTGATCCTCGCGGTGCAAATAGGTAAGTGGACGGCGGGCCGGGCTCGCAGAGGGCGGCGGGCTGCCGGGCCCGAGGCACCCGGGGGGACCGACTGACCCGCGGTCGCCCGGGAGTGCGGAGAAGCCGGCAAACCCCCAGGGATGGGGGCATCGGCTCCTAGGGACTGGCGCGTCCCGGGTTGGTTTTGCTAAAAAAGAGAGAGAGAGAGACTCCAAATGTTCGCCAGGAAGTGTGTGCGGCCGGCTGTTTTCTGGAGGGATTTTCCCCTCTTTTTACAAAGCGCACGTCCGTATTTGCTGCTTTCTCTTGGGTGCACCAGGTTTGGTGCACTTTGGGGAAATGCATTGCTCCCTGCCATGCTGCAAGGTTTTATGTTGAAGGGTCGAAAGGTGAATGCAGGAACAAGATGGCTAGGCAGCTAGAACTGGAAAGTTAATGTGCAGAATGCAAAGATATTCTGGGGCTCCGACTGCTGCATTTAGAACTTTGTCATTCTCCCGCCGCCGCCCCCCCCCTCCCCATATCCTAGCTGCAGCGTTCACACCGGGCACCGCAGACCGGGCTAAGGGGCAAATTGAGAATAAATGGGAACCCCAGAGTGTATCTTTTAATATGCTTATTATTAAGGAGCTTGAGTTCAACTAAATATATTTGGATATAATTTTCTATGCACATATGCCTCTTCTTTTCCACACAGGCATCTGTATGTTATATACAGGAAGGGGTTAAGAAGTGTTTGCAATATGTGGTGTTGGGTGCTTGTAATTTTTGTTAGTTTGGAATTGATTATGGATGGATTTATATAGTCCCCATTTTATGTTAAGGAATCTTGAGTCCTAGTTCCACTGTCGTTGGGGCTTTTGAAAGTTCATATTTTTTTCCCATCCAAAATGAAGAAGGTGCAATGGAAGGGAACAGGAGAAAACCCCCTTCTCTGTTGCTGGGTCAGAGCATTAATTAATGTAGCCTCAAAGTGAAAGTGAAGCAGATTATTAATAGAATGGACAAGAGAAAAAATAGAAACTCTTCAAATGGGTTTTCTGGAGAGGAGGGAATTGTTGGCTCCTATCATTTGAGGCTGTAGCATTCTTTGCAGACAAATCCTTGCAGTATTGCAGGAGGGGGGTGCTTTAGGGAATTGGTTTGTCTGGGGCAAGAGATGAAATACATAACATTTTTCTTCATGGGAAATGTGGAAGAAACAGGCTTTGGAGTTATCTAGACATTAACGTGGATTCTTTGCAATAGGTTTCTATGCATTTGACAGGATTTTCTGAATCTGATTTTCTTTTCTGCATGAACATTGTAGGGATTTTAGAGTGTACAGATGCAGGATGTCGGCGGCATTTCCTTTAATTCCAAGAAATGACTTGATGTTTTGAATCTGGCTGTTTTGAATCTTTGACATTCATACAAAGAGCTGCAGTAAATAAAGAACATTTCTGATTGCAACAAATCCCTTAAATCTTGGAAATAAGTGGATGTGGTTTTTGCAATGACTGCAGATTTTGAGAGAGCAGGAGACAGAAGTTGTTTTTTATATAGGGCTTGTAATCGGCAAAGGTTTGGGACTCTGCATTCCCTGTGAGAAATAACCTTACTTTGAACGGGTAAAAAAGACAGAGACTGTGCATGTGAAATACGCTTGAAACACATTAACCTCCTCCGGGAAATGACCATTTGTTGGCTGTGGAATTGAAATTGAGCATGTTTGTTCCCGAATGCCTGCCCTTTCCCGAACCGGAGGCTCGATCTTTATTAATTCATGGCTGGGAGCTGTCCCAAATCACTGACATTTGGCAAGAAAAATGGGGGTTGGGCAAAGACGGGGAGGTGGAGGGGTGGTGAAGGCGAATGAAGACTAGGCGGGAGGAAGTTTGGAATGAATGAGAGGTCGAACAAATGAATGAACGGAAGGAGATGGCACAAGACCGGACACGGTGGAGGACAGGGAAGGAGCCCAGGTCACCCGCCCGAGCCTCGATGAACCAGGGCTCAGGAAGGACAGCCAGGGTTGCCTGGGCTGGGACCTGCCTGGATGCAGGAGCCTTCCAAGCGCGCCCCGCGGGCAAGCCCCCAGCCTCCCCAGCCAACGAAAGACCGAGGAGTCCGAAATTGCAAAAGACGAAATTTTCACGACTCATTTTACACTCGCGCGCACACACACATGCGCGCTGTGGAAGGTTTTCCGGCAGCCCCTGAAAACACCGTGACAGGAGCGCTTCCCGCGTCCTCCCCCAGCCCGCTCCCCGACCCCAGAGAGCGCAATTCCCTTTTAAACCATTGTCAGTGCATCTTAGGGGCTGTTTTTTCGCCACCGAGTTTTGGGGGTGAAGGTGGGAAGAGACTGGGGACCGGGGAGAGAGGACGGACTCTCTTATTTCGTTTACTCGCTGCAAAGCTGCGCTTGCAGTGGTTTGCAGGGGACGCCGCGCAGGGCTCCTTTCATCGGCCCTCGTCTGTTAGAACAAAGACTCGTTTATCCCTTCCTTCTAGCTCAGTGTTCTAGCTGATGTTGCAGTCCAGGGGCTCTCGCTATGTCGTGGGGGTGCTGGGACATTGACGAAGGTCGACGTCTCGGCCCGAGCTTCCCTTTCCGGATTAGAAAGCTTAAGGCCCGCCCCGCTCTCCCTGCAGCAATTTGCAAACGCTGCGCTCTCGGAGGCCTCTGCGGGTTCGGTCACCTTCCCCCTTGCCTGTCCCCGGCCCAGGGACTGGCGGCTGGGGGCGGTGAGGCGTCCGGTCCTCCCCGGAGACACAAGCGAGCCGTGGCGCCCTGAAGGCCGCCGGGAAGCAGCGGGAAGCAGCCTGGGCCCTGGAGGCCCCTTCTCTCCCCTTCCCTCCCCGGGCAGTGCAGGTCTGCGCTTCGCGTGCGCACTCCTGGCGCCCAACGTGCTTTCGGCCGCTGGTTTAGGCATCTTCAGCCCGGTTCGTGCCGTGGGATGGAGAGAAAGGGCCTTGGCAGCGCAGCCGCCGCTTGGAGCCCGTCTCTCGGGTCCCGTGCCTCGGGGCTTGGCCGACCTGAGACCAGCAGCACGGACTAGGTGTCCCCTGGGTTTCCTCCTCCACCTGCTGCCACCGCCCGGCTTCGACCCCAGCCCCTCTGGAGGGAGCCCCGAGCCAGAGGCAGAGAGCCCCTGGCGGCAGCCACCCCGGACCCCAGCTGCAGAGCTGGGGCTTGGAGAGGAAGGGTCGTGTCTGGTCTCTGGCTGGCAGAGCAAGGCTGGTTTTTCCCCGAGGAGCTGATCAAGGTGGAGGGAAGCAAGGGGCTGGCCTCGGGGATCTGGCCTCCCCGGGAAGGTGACCCAGGGTCACTAGCTCGGACACATCCTGACCCAGCTGGCCCTAACTGCCCGGGACCACCCTTCCCTCTCCCAGTCTAGGGGGGTAGGTGCTGCAGATGAGGACCTCACTAGGAACTCCATGGTAGAGAATCCCTTTTATAATGAAATAACCCAAGTCGGTGGCTGGTGGGGGCTTCCAGAGAATTTATTTATTCGTTCAGCAGTGCTTGCCCAGCGCCCACTAAGCAGCGGGCCCCGAGCCCAGGGATCTTTCACAAACGTGGCACTCGGGCAGGCCGCGGGGCCCAGGCTCTGAGCCACCCAGCCCCTTCCTCACCCCTACACTGTGCTGTCAGACCCCTCTGTCACCTCACAAAAGGGAAATCGCACTGCGAGAGCCTTGACAGGCCAGCTAGGGGTGTGTTGGGGAAGCCAAGCAGGGAGCGAGGAGAAAGAAAGAGGCGGGGGAGGAGAGAAGAGGGGGCGAAGGAAACCGAAAAAGATGCTGAGAGCGATGCGGGCAGGGGGCGCACGGTAGGAAAGGCTTGGACTCCCCCGACCCCACACCCGCACATACCGGCCACCTGCAGAAGATGCCGGGTGCGTGCCGATTGTTCTCGGCCCAACCGTTCATTCACCTTTGGCCCTGGCACGCCCCGAGCCTGGACGCCACTGGACACGGCGGTATGGGGCGATGCGCACTGGGTCCCGGCGGGCAGGCTGCGGGGCCCCGGGGCCGGGCGGAGGCACCGCTGACCAGTGTCCCCTCCTCCCCGCAGCGTACCTGGTGCAGGCCGTGAGAGCAGCGGGCAAGTGCGATGCGGTCTTTAAGGGCTTTTCAGACTGTTTGCTCAAGCTGGGCGACAGCATGGCCAACTACCCGCAGGGCCTGGACGACAAGACGAACATCAAGACCGTGTGCACGTAAGTGTCCTCTCTGTTGCGCAAGGTTTTGGTGCTGGGGGTGGGGAGTGGGTCGTAGAGGTGGGAAGGCGCCTCGCCTCCCGCCTGAGTTCTGTATTTGGCACCAGCCAAAGCCTCCTCGCCTTCTGCCTCCCACCCTCAGGCCTTGGCTGGGGCCTGCCCTGCCCAAGGGGACCCTGTGGCCTGGAATAGGCAGAGGAGAATCCTTCCCTCGGGGCCCAGTCCCACCGTCTGCAGCCTGACCCGCGTGCACACAGGTGCGCCACACACTGGAACCGCTGGACACGGGGTGAGGGGCACGGAGAGCTGCTGGCAGCTCCGAAGCCTCTTCCTCTTCCTCCCCTGCTGTGCAAATGAGCACTTCAACCTAGACAGTTGGTTTGGCTTGAGGGGCGTTTTAGGTAGTTCTACCAGTTTGCCTAAATGAAAAGAACTCCCCTATTTTGTCCCCTTCCTCTAATAAAACTCCCTTCTGGCACAGGCCAAGAAACTTCACTGGTAGCAAGTGAGTGCAGATCCCTCTTTTTCTTTCTATGAGAGAAACTGAAAGAATATTTTATTTGGGGCCGATGGCTTTGCCCAAATGTCTAGTAACCATCTCTGCAGAGTTTATAGCCAATTTGGAGCTTTAGGGTAGCTATCCTCCTTGCTTATCCCCCCACTTCCTGTATCTGCAAGGTGTCCCCAGCCCAGGGCAGCTCAGGGCCCAACAAGGACCAAGAAGGAGTTCATACCAGGCCCAGGAGTGTTTGCCCAGAGCCTGGCTAGAAAGCACAGCTCCCACTGGCAAACGAGGGCAGCACTTGCTGTGGAGGATCAGCCACATCTCAGCTAAGGCAGACCTTAGAAATACCCCCATCTTCTGCAAGGCACATGCACACACACTTTCATTTTATTTTTCAAAAACAGTTGTAACCCTTCCCACGCCCATCGCGGCCCTTCCGACAGCCCAGGCGAAAGGTGTCCCTGTTTCCCGCGGGTCGCAGAGGCCACTTTCCGCACCCTCTTTTGTATCCTCTGAAGCCCTTCCTCTCTCCTGAATTCCTTGGGGTGGCACGTTATTTGTTAACACTGAGTAATTCGGTGGGGGTGTGTTTTGCTACACACTTTCTCCAATACCCCGGTGTCCACCAGAAGCCACAGCAGCCCAGGGACAAAAGGCTGGGTCTGGGATGCATACCCACCTGCTTTAATCCTAAATGTCTGATGACAGGGAAGAAAGTACCTATAAAGACGGGCAAAGGCGTAAATAGAGATCATCTCTCAATTCCTCCATCGTTTGCCAGAATTTAATTGCGCCAAGCTGGTGGTTTTTAGCAGGAGAATGGACATGGGTGGGGCCCTCCGGCGGCGGCAGACCACAGCTGCGTCTGAAGGCCACCTCCTCTCCGTGCGGGTGCTCAGTCGCTCAGCCGTGCCGACCCTGCGACCCCATGGACCACAGCCCGCCAGGCTCCTAAGTCGGTGGGGTTCTCCAGGCAAGACTGGAGTACGTTGCCACGCCCCCCTCCAGGGGATCGTCCCAACCCAGAGACGGAACCCAGGTCTCCAGCACTGCAGGCTGATTCTTTGCCATCTGAGCCCCCAGGGACGCCTAGCTCCTCTCAGACCCACCTGGATTCTGTCCTCCTCTGCCCAGTCTCTCTTCCAGAAGACCTGGTCCCCATCTGGGCATGCATAAAGAAAGGAGAGATTGAAATCTCCTTTGGGAGGTGTAATTATGCAGAGAGCTGTCCTGCCGCCTCTCCATTTCTCTAAATCTCAGTATTTATTACAAATTGAGGAACCTGGAAGGCCTGTGCCCCAGGCCCTGCAGTCCTCATAAATTAGAGACTCACTGAGGTCATTAGAAAGCAGCCGGAGCTCAAGGCAGTCCAACAGACCTTTATAACTTGACTGTCAGCCAGAAGACGGGGTGGGAGTGGAAACCAGAACAAAGCCTGCCTTCAGAGTGCTTACAGTCCCGGCCGGTGAGCAGAAGGGAGGGAGGGGAGGAAAGGACGCACAAATTTCGTGGAGGGCCCTCGCTGGTGACCTGACGCCAAGGGTCCTGGCGAAGGGAGAGCCAGACCGGAGTTAGCAAGACGGCACGGATCGACCCAGCCCCGAAAGGAGACAGCGGCCCAGGAATCGATCACGGGTTGGAATTATATTTAGTCTGGAGATCTATTTTGGGTTTTCAGAGGAAAAGGGGGACAATAAAAAAAAAAAAGGAGAAGTCGGATGAAGGTTGTGGGGGCGGGGCTAGAAGCCGAGCTCGGGAGAATCGAGCGGCCGAGGAAGGCGCGGGCTCCGGAAGAGGCGAGCAGGGAGGACCGGGAGCCGGGCCCCGCGAAGGCTGGCGGGGCGGGCACGACGCCGGCCCCGGGCCTGGGGGCGGGGGGCTGGCACCACCTCCCGAAGGCCGCGGGGGTCCAGGGCCGCGAAAAGGCCTAGGGGTGAGGGGTGGGGGAGAGCAGGGACTCAGCGAGCGGGGCCTGAGCTCTAGGGGTTAAGGAAGCTGGAGAAGACGAGGGAGCCGGTCCGGGGTCTCGGGCGCTGGCACTCACCGACCCCGGGGAGGCGGAGGCAGGCGGCCGTCTCCGCACCGGATCCGAGCCGGGAGGGCGAGGCGAGGCGAGGCGCCGCGGAGGACCAAAGCGAGCGAGGAGGAGGAGGGAGAGAGGAAGGGACCCGGGGGGAAACCCGAGGGGAGGGAAATGGAGGAAGACAAAGAAGGGGCGAGAAGGGAGGCGAGGTGAGCGGGAGACAAAAGGCGGAGCGGAGGAGACGGAAGGCCGAGGCGAGCGGGCGCGGCGGCTTGGAGACGCAGGGAGGAGGAGGAAGGGCGAGGAGGGGAGCGGAGCCGCGGGGAGGGCCGCGCGCCGCGCCGGCCGGCCGTCCTACAAGCTGAGAGGCATTAATGGGCGGCAGCTTGCGCGGCTTAGCACTGTTTTCCTAGCTGTGCCCGCCGAGGCCTGCAATCTGTCAGCGCAGGCCCAGGTGCCAGCGCGGCGCCGCGGGCGCGGAACCCGACCGGGAAGGGGCGGCCCCACCTTGGACAGCGGCTCCCCGGAAGGGCTGAGGTCCCGGAGTCGGGGGTCGGGGGGAGGAGGGGGGCGCACCGGGCCCTGCCCGGCGCCCGAGGGCTGCAGGGAGACTGGGCGCTGGGAGCTTGGCCGGGCCGCGAGGGGGACACCTGGGGGGGGGCGCAGGCCCGGGGTCCAGCCCGCGCTCACAGTGAACCTCCTTCTGCTCTGTTCTGTTCCTCGCCAGATACTGGGAGGATTTCCACAGCTGCACGGTCACAGCCCTTACGGATTGCCAAGAAGGGGCGAAAGATATGTGGGATAAACTGAGAAAAGAATCCAAAAATCTCAACATCCAAGGCAGCTTATTCGAACTCTGCGGCGGCGGCAACGGGGCGGCGGGGCCCCTGCTCCCGGCGCTGCCCGTGCTCCTGGTGTCTCTCTCGGCAGCTTTAGCGACCTGGCTTTCCTTCTGAGCTCCGGGCCGGCTCCCCCCGCGCGCGCCCGCACTCACGCCATGCTCCCGGAAACCGAGAGGAAGATCCATGCGTTCTTTGGGGACGTTGTGATTCTCTGTGATGCTGAAAACCCTCATATGGGAATTGTGGGAAATCCTGATTCTCTTTCTGATTTCGTTTGGTTCCTTGTGTTCCATTTGCCAAATGTTACCGATCAGTGAGCAAGCGAGCACAGCCAAAAATCGGACCTCAGCTTCAGTCCGTCTTCACACAGAAACACGAAAACGGCAAACCCACCCCATTCTTTTTTTTTTTTAATTTTTATTTTTTTGGCACAAGAATCTCAGGAACGGCCCTGGGCCGCCTACTATATTAATCATGTGAATACATGACCAATGATGGGCTCCTCCTAACAGGAAAGAGGAGAGGAGAAGGCCAGGGGAATGCATTGAAGAGAGCAGCATCTCGTGAATAATTCACGCTCACTGTCTTTCTAACACAGAATCTTGTTTTGATCATTTCCACTGCACATTTCTCCTCGAGAAAAGTGAAAGGACAGATGGTTGGCCTTGTGTTTCAAGGCTAGGATGGGGAGAGCGAGGGAGTTGAGGAAACCTCGGGTCAGAGGTACAGGCTGCCAGAAGCAACGCTGCTGAAGTCACTGAGAGGTTAAGCTTTACCTGCTCGTTGATGCATCTTTCAAAGTCCACTGCCTTGGTTTTCCCTCTTGTTTTAGCTGTTCCACATACGGTAATACCTGAATATCCAACGGTATAGATCACAAGGGGGGGGGATGTTAAATGTTAATCTAAAATATAGTTAAAAAAAGATTTTGACATAAAAGAGCCTTGATTTTAAAAAAAAGAGAGATGTAATTTAAAAAGTTTATTATAAATTAAATTCAGCAAAAAAAAAGATTTGCTACAAAGTATAGAGAAGTATAAAATAAAAGTTATTGTTTGAAATAGGGGTGTCCTCTGTTTCCTGCCCCAAGCCTGCTTTCTTGGACGAGTTCTCTCGGGGTTCCCTGGAGGGACACAGGTTGCCAGGTGGTAAATTCACCAGCTCACCCGTCACCTGATAACCTACCGTCCTCAAGCCGTGGGTTACCAGAACATCTTGCCACGTCCCTGAAATCGTGTTTACTTAAGAAAAAGGGAAGCTATGTTTTACTTCTGTAAGCCAAAAGGCAGGGGTCTTTCCTAGCGGAGGTTTGAGGGCGCTGGCCTTGCGCGCCTCTGAGAACGCACACGCGGACCCACGCGGGTCGAAAGCTCGAGCTCCTGCCTGCGGGCCGAGCCCTGCTCGCAACTCGCCGCTTCCTCTGCGGTGGCGGGAGGCAGCTCTCGGAGGAACCACCATTAAGGGCTCCAGCGGAGGGGCCAGAGGCGTCGTCCCTGGCAGGGATCGGGCGAGTCCTTTCATAATTAATAAGACAGCTCAGCTGAAACGGCGAGGGCCCCATCGATCCGGCCGGCGAGCTGCTTCCATCTCTCCTATTTTTGGCCCGCGTGGCCTCACGGAGAAGTAAGGGCCCGCGAGTAAACGCGGCGGACCAGCCCGGGGTCCGGGACGGCCAGAGGAGGGCAGGCTGCGGGAGGCAGAGCCGAATGTGGGCCCCCGGGTTCCGGGGCGGCGAAGTCGAATTTCCTGGACAAAGTGAGGGTGGAGGTGGAGGTGGAGGTGGGGGTGGGCGCGGAGGCTGGAGGACCTCGAGGGAGGCTGCGGAGGCGGCCGCGGGTACCCGCGCCGGCTCCTAAGGGGGGGCGCGGGGGCCCTGAAATGCAATGTGTAAACAATCGCTGGAGTAACCGTTCATAAATCAAACCCAGTGGGTTGCAGCGCAATCTGCATTCCCCCCACGGATTGCATTCCAGCAACACATGCGCCCCTGCGCCCCGAGCGCTGGGAAGCGGCGAGGATTCTGAACGGCGGCATCTATTAGCGCGGCCGGTCCACGCACGCGCCGCGCCCGCCCCTGCGGGGAACAGTCCCCCGCCGCCTGCCCAACCAGCCCGCTGCCCTGCCCATCCCTAGTCTCAGGCCAAAGCCATGGAGATCTAGCTGCCTGCGCGCAGTGGTCACCCACCGAGGAACTCTGGTTGTTTGGCAAAATAGACTTTGGTTCTACTCTTTTCAATGGAAATTTTCGGTCTCGGTATAAAAGGCAAGATTCTAACCTGAGCTCAGCGCCTGGAATTCAAATTAAAATGTCTGAGCCTGTTTTAAATACGAATCTACTTAATGAGGAAGGGAGGGAGGAAAAGAAAGAGGGTTTACACCGGCCATTCTTGCTGTGACATCTTCCCTCCTAGTCATGCCTCTTCCTGCCCCCCAAACGGGGGCGAACCCGTGCGCACCACTCGGCCCCTTGCTCGCCAAAGGAAAACGCACGCGGCATTTTCCCCGGGCTTGAGGGGACCGGGGCAGGGGGGAGACCCCTGGGACACAAGGAAGACGCCCCTCCCCGCCACGGCGCGGGCTTCCCCCCTGGGAATCGACCTCTTCCGAGGTCTGGAAGGAGGCAAGGCGGAGGGAGGGGGCTCCGTCGCCCTCGTCTCCAGGACCTGGTGTTCCTGCGGCCTCCCAGGCGGGGCTGCCCTCGAAGGAGGCCTGTCCCGAATCGTCCCGGGACTCCCTCGCCCTGCCCCAGGCCGCGGGCCCAAGCTCACGTGCTCCTGGATGGAGCCCAGGTTCGCGGGGCGCACCTGACGGGTTAGAGGCCATTCCTCCTAGTTGCAGTGATTGTTCAGTTATTATCACGCCGTCTTCGACTGTAATTTGTTTAACCATGATGACATCTCCATATGTTAGCTGGTGTTACGTTGTTTTGTTTTTTTTTAAAGCAGCATCGCAGTAAGCCCTGATCCCAGCTCAGGGAGGTATTAACCAAGGTGAGCCGCAAGTCAGTCCCAAGGCGGAGAGGGGGTGGGGTGGGGGGCTGAGGAGTGAAGATCAAATAGGAGGGGGATGGGGTCTACCATGCTGACCAGCTGGGGCTGGCCGCCAGCCCTGGAGGACCTGGGACAGCGGAAGGGGCCTCCTGCATTCCATCCCCTGCCCGAGTATACTCAAGACACAGGAGTCCCCCCACCTGAGTGTGACGCTTGATTATCCTCAGGAAAACCTCAGAGAGGCCCGCTCCAGAGTGCCCGCTCCAGAGTCCCCGCTCAGCCCCGGGCCCTTGGGAGGTGGACATCTGGGGGGCGCAGAGGAGACATGCAAGGGAAGGAGAAGGCCGAGGGCATGCAAAATGAGGACCCAGGCCTGGGAGAAAAACGGGGAAGCCTGACCCAGGAGTAGGGCGAGAGGAGGGGCTGGGGGAGACAATCCCCTTGGGCTGGAGACCCCAGAGCTGTGGGCCAGAGGCGGGGGTACAGATGAGCCTGCCGCCTGTTCTCATTCAGGACCCTCTGAAAAGCAAATCCGCACGAGGCTCCCCACGGAGATTTTCTTTCTGTGTATCTGGAAATCCTTTCACACTGACGGATTCTGGGCTGGAGAGGCGAGCGGCCGCGCGGGGTGGGGGGGGGGGCGGGGGGGGGGCTGAGCGCAAGCTCCGGGAGTCCAGAGTCCGATGGATGGATAGCGGAGACAGAGAGGCCTTTTCTCCCTCCCCAAACTCCCTCCAAGCCCGGCAGAGTTGCTTCTGGAAGGTCTTCGGCCCTCCTCTCTCTCTCCCACTCCCTGCCCCCCACAAGGGGCTCCATCCTGGCAGGACCAGCTGGGCACCTGTGGTCCCCGCTCTGTCCTCCAGGACCTGAGGGAGGAGGGCTCCGGGCCATCCCTTCCTTTCTTCCCAACACCCACCAAAGGAGATCAAAGGACTGTGGCCCTCACCCCTCGCCCCTGGTGTGGAAGCAAAGTGGGAGGCGGGGAGCCATGCGGACACTTGCTGTGGAACCCTCCCAGGAGTCACTGGTGGCCGCTGCCCACTCCTGCCCAGGCCTGCATGGCAGGGAACTGTGTAATGATGTAGGTTGGAGTTTTCCCGGAAGGAGAAGAACAGCATCTCCTGGGACCATGGCAGTCTGGGTACCAAACCCAAAAGCCGGAAAGAAAAAAACTGGGCCGACAGAGAACAGACTTGTGATCCCCGAGGATGGAGGGGCAGGGCCGGGCGGGGCGGAGTGGGGTGGAGGGATGGACTGGACGTTTGGGATGAGCAGATGCAAACTATTACATACAGGATGGATAAGCAACGAGGTCCTACTGTACAACACAGGGAACTGTATTCAATATCCTGTGATAAAGCATTGTGGAAAGAATATGATAATGAATACATACATACATATATATCTGAATCACTTCACTGTACAGCAGTAACACATTATAAATCAACTCTATGTCAATAAAATGAAATTTTAAAAAAATAAATAGAATGAACCGGGAAGAAAGAAAGAAACTGGAAGCGGTGCTGCCTAGCCGGACTAAGGCAATGTCCCCCACTCAGCCCTGGTTCAGGGAAGGAAGGACAGGGACAAGGAGGAGTGTAAACCCTGCATCCAGATTCTCACCCTAAGGACAGGCCTTCAGGGAGCCAGAAGACCTCTGTTACCAGCCACATAACCAAGGGTGGGTTCCTTGACCCCTCCAGACCTCAGTTTCCTTGGGGATGGTCATACCTCCCTCATGGGGTTGTACTTTGTCTCAAATGCGGTGACGTAGATGAAGCACTTTCCTACTACACGCCTCTTCCATATGGTTGGATGTTATTATTCTCATTTACTCCTGCCTCCACACAGGCTTAACCCCATGGTCTTAATGAATTCTTTAAAATAATCTGGAGTGGAGAACTTCATTATGACCTTTAATACTATGAGGCAGATTTCCTTTATAGTGCTGTGTGTGTGTGCACGCTCAGTCATGTCTGATGCTTCATGACCCCATGGACTGTAGCCCACCAGGCTCCTCTGTCCATGGGATTCTCCAGGCAAGCATAATGGAGTGGGTTGCCGTTTCCTTCTCCAGGGGATCTTCTCAACCCAGGGGTGTAACTCATGCCTCCTGCATTGGCA